TGTGTGTGTGTTTGTGTGTTCAGTTACCTGTGGCTCTCCCTTGATGCTGCCCTCCTCCGAGTCAGACTGCTGGTCAGGGTCATTTTCATCACCCTGGAATTTAAAAAAGATAGAAGGGTTACACACGACTTGCAGCTTTCTCTAACCAAATGATCAAAGAGGAACATTTATAACCTCCTGCACCTCCTGAGTGCTGCTAAGAATACGTATGGTGATTAAAAAAAAAGTGATGCCTTACATCTTGAGTCCAGAAGGAGACCCCAGTGGAGCGCCTCTTCTCGCGGGGCCGCCTGCGATCCCGTATGGAGCGGGGCTGAGATTTGTCCTCTCCCTCCTTCTCCTCATCCTTTCTATCTATTTCTGTTCATCGAAAAGAATACCAAAAAGGTTAACTACATATTGCTGTAACAGTATGTGCAATATGACCCCTTATTTTGACAACAACAGTGTGTGAATGTCCATACAGTAATCCTAACTAAGAGAAAAAGGTTAAACAAGGCAATGATTTGACTTCACAAGACACAATCAGGACATCAACTTGACTTGGCCTGAGTTCAGAGAAGAAAAAAAAAAGAAAAAAGAAAAAGGCTTTGGTCATGGGAGAACAAAGCGGTGACTGTTTCCTTCCTTCGGCTGAACAGACTAAAGCTGCCTTCTATTTTTCCCAGGGATGCTTCATGGATTTATTTGTTAAGAGAAGAGCTACTTAATTTAAAAGGCAACCCAATCCCTTTCTGTCTCAATGCCCCTAATCAGCATGTGGCGGTTTGCCCATGTGAATGTGGACCTGTGGAGACAGATACCAGCATCAGGTGGAATTTAGACATTAGTCATGCATCCACAAGCTGTGCTTCCTGTATATGGCTTCATACCAGAGGGGATTAGCATTTAAATTATTTCAGTTTTCAATGTTGTGATAGTTAAGATATCATCTATGTAGTCATTCTAAAACGGATGAATATGTCCAGTCTAGAAAATATTATAATGGCCATATGGCTGCTAGCGGGTGTAATACAGGTATTGTGGAGGATACAATTATTCCAGCATGTTTGACTCGCTGCTCTCTCCACTGCAATCGCCATGGTCAACATTTATTGTACAGTTGGATTGATTTTTTCAGAGCGCCCCTTTCGAACGGGAATGGCACCAGGTACTGACCTTTTTCCGTATCTCTGGAGGAACGGCTATAGGATGAGGTGATCCCCGTCAGACTGTTAGGCCTGTTGAGGGAGCTGGAACTGGAGGACAAAATGGTGCTAGAGTAGGACGGGGTGGAGGCAGTACTGGCTGTCAAAATGGCGGAGGTGGAGGAAGAAGACGAAGGCCGGTAGCGCTGGTAGGGAGACAGAAGACAGGTGAGATGGAGAGTGTAAGTCAAACACTGAAGGTATGGATTACAAGTGAAGAAACAGTGATCCCTCTTGGGAATGTTGTTACTAAAGCTCGGAATAGAAATGTACCTCTTCGAAGCTCCGGTACTTCGATCGGTAATCGTCTTCCTTGGTCTCCAACTCCTTCTTCTCTTCCTGCTTCTCCTTGTCCTGCTTTTCCTTCTCCTCCTTCTCCTCCTCCCGGGTCTTTGTGGGACGACTCCTGCCGATTGTTTTCTCAGCTTCTTGCAGGTCAGTCAGAGTCACGCCCTGGAAGAACAGAGTAAAACATGATCTCTAGAATCTGAATTCCGTGCTCCGATTAAATATTTTCATTTTAGAACCAGAATCTTATTATTTAAAACTCTGCAGTAAAAAGTCAACAGTTTAATTGGTATTTTACGATGTTTAATTTTTAGTGTCACAGATTTTGGCACAATGCGGTTCAGTCATTTTTGCAGGAAACGGACAAAGCTCAAATTCTGTAAGCTCGTAAAATGATCAGCCGTTTGTACAGGCCCAGACTTTAAGTGCTGTTTGTGTACAGAAAGTGCCGTCTCAACCAGGATAATAACATTTATTTAAACAGACTGGCAATAAAACCATAATGCAAGCCAGAGGCACCTACATGTCACCATTTATTAACATTTTATTTTGATGGGGAATCCACTGTCATTTTAGTTGCTGGTAAAAAGTGGGACTTTTTTGGTATAACGGAGGGATACATCAATTGTCAACATATAAAAAGGTTAACTAACCTGAGTGGACCTCCTTGACTGTCGAGCCTGCCTGGAGCGAGCTTTCCTTTGGGACTCTGACTCCTCGTCTCGCACTGGCGTCAGGTATGACCTGACACACACAAAGACACAAACACACACAGACGGTTAATAATCTGTCAATTGAGCCAAAATACTAAACTCTATAATTAGATGACTGGAATGGGGAAACTGGCACGATAAGTAACTGTCTTTATTGTGTATGGTAGTAGGGTGCCTTAAGGTTACATGAGGTGGCTTGTGATCAGAAGGATGGCTGTTGTAATTTATAGACTTGCTGGGAAAGTGAAAATAAGTCTCTCCACTCACACAGTAAATACTGTACAGCTCAGTGGAGCTGCTTAGTGGCCAAAACTAACCGTAAGACTGCTGATCCGCTATGCAGCTCCAGGTGCACATTTGTGGAATGGTATGAATTTGAAACAGCTATCTATGTCATAAAAGGTTGTTGGAAGAGTATTTCCTATAATCAAGATGTATGTGAAGCAGAATGTTCCTGGAAAATAGGAAACCTACCCGGGCCCCATTTTCCCATGTTTTTTTGTCCAAATCCAGGTTGACAACTACCAAAGTTTCCCTTTAACGAAGATAAAGCTTACTTAAAACCTACTTTAAGTTACTGTGATAAAATATGACTCAAATCTCTGTGTTTAGCTTTTTGCTACAACAGTATCAGGGTCAACAGGCAACAGTTTGGGATATAAAACAGTGAGCTATTTTGGCTCTTTCTCTCAGTTTGGAGCATGCCTCTGTTGGCCACACAAAAGTATGAACTCATTCAGTGCAGAGTGGAGCCTTGGCCTTGAGGAAAATGTGCAGCTTCTGCCCACTTTCCTTATAAGGAGAAGTCGCTGGAGCAATCCAGGCTCTGAAACAGGCCCACTCCCACCATGACAGGTGGCTTATTTCAGCACTGCAACAGGAAGACATGCACTCCACCCCACTCAAACACACGCGTGCAAACGCACGCCCTCTGTGAGACACACTGACATGGTAGACAGACTCAGACACTACTCTCTCTCTCTTCCCCTCCACACTGTGTGTACACACACCCCGTTCTCAAACAGAGGAAATGCATCCGGATTACTGTTTGACTGAAGGAAGCTTTTAAGGTTAAAACCAATATTTCTGGAAGCTGCTTACAGTAAATGTTTTGTTCAACTATCCAAGCTATTTGAACTTGAAAAAGTCATGAATATACATAAACAAATCTAATAACAAATTAGTATTTAAAATGTTATCTTGTTTACGTAGTCTAATCCCCAGGGATTTTAACTCATGTCAAGATAAATAACAAAACAAAACACCATGGGACAGTGACAGTCTCCACTAAACCCAAAATAACAACAGCAATTAACAAGATCGGAACTTCAAACTGTACATAATCAAACAAAATGCATCATAATCCATCATCTATGAGGCTAATAATAATCTGACAATTTCCCACATCTAATAACATGCCAGCACCAGCAAATACAATCCAGATGATGTATATCAATTCTCCCATGGAAGTGCTCATTTGAATTCTTAAACTACTCTGAACTGATTACTGTACGCGACTTAACAAGAATGTGTGTTTTTAGGAGACAAGAAATAAACTGACATACTGATTCACATATAAGGACATGCATGAGTTATGTAGGTAAAAAGGTGTGTGTTTGTGTTACCTGCGTCTTTCAGAGCCAGTGACAGTGCCAGTGGTGGTGGTAGTGGTAGATATGCCGGTGGTGGTAGTGGTAGATGTGGTGGTCGTAGTAGAGCCAGTGTTTATAGTGGGGATGACCGCAGCAGATTCCTTCTCCTTCTCCTTCTCCCTCTCTGCACTCTCCTCTGACCAGTACCTGATTACACACCCGCATTTTGTAAGAAACCTACTTAGCCTCACAGATTCCATTTCAACTACTTTCATTATAAAACTAAACATTTGTGGTTGTAGAAGGCTTTTAAGTGAAGCCATGTGAATGCTGGCAGCCATTTTGTTCATATAAGTCACCACACGGTTTATTTCTATGCATTTTCTTGGCTGAAGGCTGATCATGTCAGACTGATTTTGTGTTACAAAATGAATAACTAGCTTTAATAATGACTATAATTAGCTAAACATCTGTTTTACACAGTTGATTACTTCATTATTGATTGCATATAACCAGTATTTAATTTCTAACATTAGCTTGTTGGTTTAATAGCTTACTTAAAAGCTTTAAAAACAAAAAAAAAAAACAAAAAAAAAAAACTTTTGAGTGAACATTTCACAGGAAACATGTGCCCAAAGTATACAATATTTTCATGCCAGACTCAAACCAGCCTGTGGGTGTATCCACAGAGCAGAGACGAGCCTTCACCACTGCTCTTTGTACTGTCACTGAATTCCACCCCCTTTGTACCTCCATAATAGGGCCCCCACCAGCTACTCTGAGGCGATTTAGATTTACAGTTGCTGGATGAAAACATCCTTGGTAAGTTGTTTAATAATCATTATTCGTGATGACAGGCCTGTTATACTATATACTGGCTTTCTGGCCTTTGAAAAAAAATTGTGTTTGTTGTTGCTTGTGTCGTTGACCGTGTCATAGTTATAGCAGGACACGCATTGCTTGTCGACTTGTAGCCTAATTTGCCATCTTGTGGGTTGATTATATGACTTTAGCTAAATGGCTGTGTGGCTGTATGAGCAATGCAGCATCACTGAATATAGCTACTGCTGAATGCCAATAGTTTAGTCAATTTTACTTTACTAATTTTTTACTACTAAGTTTGAGGTTTAAATATCAGCAGGTCGCTGTTTAATGATAAACCATGTACACTATCAGTCCTGCTTGTGTACCTGCTGGTGAGACTGGTGGAGCCAGTGCGGGTGGAGGAGGAGCCCAGGCTGGAGAGCAGGCCGCGATGGCCTGTGGGCGAGGTAACAGATGAGGAGGTGGTGGTGGTCGTGGAGGAGGACGTGGTCGAGGAACTCAAGTCCTCGTTCCTTCTGCTGAAAGAGCCGCTGGAGGACAAAATGTCAGACACAAACAAAGCAGAGTCACCAGTGAGAAAAAGCGGAATACTAATGTAATCACGGATATAATGCTAGTTGCAACAGTCTAGTTAGAGGTATCTGATTATTAACTGATAATATTTAAAATATTTCTGCATCATATATCAACATTGTGATGGCATTATTAGTTGCAAAGGTTTAAAACATCGTTTGACAGTCAGTTTGAGTAGTAGTAATGATGGCGCTGCATGAACTATAAACAAAAAGATCAATCACGCCTATGCTACATAGGTTTAATACATTAACAGTAAAGCCCTCTAAAGGAAACTGAGGATATATTAATTTGTGAAAATAACTCAACCTGTCCTTGTGAAATGAGATCAATATATTTTCTTGCAAAGCCCATGGTCATTCCAGGAAGGGATTGCAGTTTTAATACTGCAGTTTCAGTGAAAATTTAGCTGAACATACTTTTATTGATGGTACTGCAGTGTCACAGTATCACTCGATGACATCAGTATTAATGCTCTGTCAAAAACAGCATTCTGCACTTACTGGGCGTCTTTGGAAAACATTTCGATATTCATTTGTTCATTAAACGTAACCAGAAGAACACAAAACTTAGGTAGGCACTTCAGCAGCGCAGACACACGCGGTCAGAGAGGACAGGTGGGTGTAGAGACGGCGTTGCCCCGGTGAGGCTGGTGTACCTGCGGTATATGCTGTAAGACTGGTAGTGGGAGGTGGGTGGCTGCCAGGGTTTAGTATTACAGGTGTTAGGGTCCAAGCTGGAGGTGGACGAAGACTTGGCTGGCACGTCCCGCGTGCTGCCGCTCCGCCCTAGTGCTAGCGTATGGGACGTGCTGGCGTGTTGGCAGGCGGGTGGGCGAGAGAGGCATATTAGCGGTGAAGGCGCACACACACATATATAGTATAAGAAACATACATATTTAAGACTATTAAGCTTTGCACACTATTGGTGCACTCATGTCATATGGGGCTAGCTGTTGATTGGACAATTGAAAGCAACAACAGAGAAGTTGTCGTGCCATAAATAAATTTAGTTTGTTTCAAATTTTCTACACTTGATTCAAGGATGTCTTGGTTGGCAACATCAAAATTAGGGAACTTTGAGAAATATACAAAGTTCCCAAGTAGCTTTTACAACTTAAAAATGAAGGTAATTTATGAAGACTGCTTGTATGCAGCATTTCCCCCCATATGACAAGCTTGCAGCATAAGTCCATGCCTAGGTTTTGTGCCATGAACAACTCTGGGAATTTCAAATCTGGGAGTCAAACAGGTATATAGGCTTGTTAAAATGTCTGAGCAATGCATTGCAAACTCAGTGGCACAGTAACCTGACAGGACAGGTACAGTCATGCAACAGACTCTGCAGTGATAAGAGAAAGGCGTTGGGCTGATTTGCATTGCTTTCTCAGTAGCTGCTGCTGTGCATGGAAGCATGTACATACATATCTCTGATGACATAATCCAAGCAGAAATGAACAGAAGATGATTGATAAACAGCTATCAATACTTTCTACACAGTGGTTTTAGTTCCAAAGCTATGCAAGTCAACCTCATAATGGAATAAAACACATCAGATCAGATGGATCAGAGATCTGATGATGAGATGAGGGATGGAAGATTCGTATCGCGGCAGAAGCTAACCTGCGCTGGTAGCTGGGGGTTCGGTTGGTGGAGGCGCTTCCTTCACTGTTCTTCAGGTCGTCGTCCCAGCGTCGCCGGGTGTATGAGCCACTACGTATCAGAGCAGTAGAGTCCCTGGGGAACCACAAGCTACAATAGTACCCCAGGCAAACAGATACCGACGTAGATATGTGCTAATACAGATCTTTCCCCATTAAACCCAATTCTACCCACTATGAAATCTATCCTTTTTCTAGAAAGTTTGAAGTCTACCAAATTCATTGCTGCACAACACAACCTAACCAAAGGCAGTTTCTTAAGGCCAAACACACCATGCAGAGCATTGAGGCCTTTTGCCTGCAACACACAGCAGTGGGCAGCAGGAGCCGCTTGTGCCAATGCATGTTTTTCACAGAGCCACTAGGCTCCAGGGCTTCACCTGTTTTCCTTCTCGTCAATGTCTGAAGTACTGGCCAGTCTCCTGGGGATGGTGGGGGCCACATAGGCAAGCCGGGTCCCTTTATCCTTTTCCTGTAGAAAAATGTGGCATTTAAGTCTTAATTGAGCTCTTACAAAGACTCAGGAGTTCTTTCTTTTCAAACATACAGTTGCCATCTCCACAAAAAGATGTTCAATATATTAAAATAAAGGATGTGACTATGTTGACTGTTGACCTTCTCTTTGTCTTTGTTGTCCAGGGAAGAGGAGAGGCGAGGGCTCGAGGCTGAACGCATCACACCAGTTGTGTCCTTCTCCCTCTGAGCCTCCTTGGTGGCCGTGATCTCCGCTAGTGCCCCATAGCTGCCCGTCTTCCTCAAACCCAGCCGCCACGATGCTGGAGACTCGTCCTTCCTCTCCTCCTCCACTTTAGTCGAGATCTTTCCAGCAGGCTGAATGGCCTGACAGGGAGGAAAGGGTATTGGTTTAGTGTACAAAGTTAAGCAGTTAAACATATAAACTAAAGATTTTAAATGAGGTTTTTTTTTTTTTTTAGTAATCTTGGTGAGTAACACGAATATCAGGTCAAAACAGTGGTCAAGAACAGTTTGGATTAATCTCCAGGGGCTGCAGTTTTCACATTTAAATGATGAGACCATATGAGGACATTTTTAAGGAAGGGCATGCCAGTTAAGAGGTACGATCACATCCACTTCTACAACTACAGGGCCAAATTCATTCCAGAGTAAATACGATAATTATGTAACGCTCTTCTACAGCAGGAGGTGAATCTGTTGTGATTTTAGGGTCCAACTGATTACGTTTTTAAAAGGTCAGGCCACAAATACACTATTAATACAAACCACCAAAAGATGACAAGCAACTGAACATAACACAGAAGCCACACAGACACACGGTGAAAGCACGATCTAAAGAGTGCATTTGTTGATTACAAGTGAGAACACCATGTAGGGTTGATGAGTGAAAGTCAGCGAGAGGGAGGTTCAATCAGCATCACCTAGATTGGGCCAGGGTGGTTAGGGGGGGTGTTAAGTACTTTGCAGTGCACAGGTGCATGTAGGATGAGAGAACAACTCTTGGTGCACACCAATGCCTCACCATAGGTTTTTTGGGCACTAGAGAAATGCCAGTTTTGCGCAAGCCTTGACGCCACAATGCAGGACAGCCTGGCTCCGCCACAGGCATGAGGGGAGTAATACAATCAAACTAAAGCCAACCAAGACAAGAGCCCAGGATGAGAAAGACGCAGAGGGAGGCAGGGCAGGGAGGAGGACAGAGGGGTTGAGACAGAGAAAAGGCCAGAATAAGACAGAAGCAGCAGCAAAAGAAACACACTTTATGGCAAGGACAGATTTTTTATTTATTTTTTTAAAGGCCTAGTCACACCACACAATGCTTACTGCCAAACCAGGGGGGGACTACCATTATTGTTCTCAGTTGGAATACGTGACAGATCCAACAAACATTTGGTAGTGTCAAAACTGGACATTGTTAATGCTTTGCTCACTCTTGTTAGACAGAAGACATTGTGATGTGTGAGCACTAGGCTTCAAAGAAGGATTGGAACAAGAAGATCATTGCAAGAAAAAGAAGCAGAAAAAAAAAAGAGAAACATTCAGTCTTGCATAGGTGGCCACTGGTGCAGGACATTGACTAAAGGGTGTACGCTATAAAAAGATACGCTCCTATTTAGGCCGCATTCAGGAGTGTGAAATGATGATGCAGTGTGTAGGTGGTGTCTAATAGCACAGACTTAACAGAATGAGCGCCACAGCTTTTATTTAGGGACTTCATTTTAACTTCTAAATATATACCGTTTCAACGCTGGCCACACAAAACAGTTGAAAATACCTTTCCAACAGTATTTGTTAAAACCAGTGGATGGAGGGAAGCAGACATGACCTTGGAAAAATGTACCAGGTTTACTTTAGTTAAATGCTTGGCCTCATTTTGCCAGCAGAGGGCAGCAGACTCAAAAGTGGGAAAACACTCCCATGAAAGCCCTAGTTTTATTCTTAACCAAACCAATCCACTTCTCTATGCGCTCCAGCCCCCGGGCCTCCTGGCACTCGCATAGTAAACTGTTAACATTATCCAGAATTGGCCGTCAATCATCCCCACTGTGCACCCAGTTGTCACGTTTGTTTAACGGCACCGTAAATTAGTTGTAACTGTCATTCTCAGGGCCTCTTTGACATTTGTTAGCTAATGTGCTCACTGTACTGCAACATGAAGAGCGAACCACAACCAGGAACAACTATCTCTGCCAAGGCCTGGAGTGTGAACTGCAAACTCATTTATGTTAAACCCCCCAGTATCTTCAGCCAGCTGTGAAATTAGGTTTAAGTGGGAGAAAAACTAAATAGAAAGTACATTTTATTGATTTGTTTACATAATGAGGCACCAACAAGTCTCAGAACAAAGTTGAACTGACTTCATGTAACAGAGGAGGTGTAGTTACTCCCTCAAACGCTTTGAGGGTAAATAGTGACATGATTGCATCATGGCTGTGCTGCAGCATTTAATTTCCTTCCTGGGGCCTTTTAAGACCGATCAACTCCTAATTTTAGCGTCTGTTTTGATGTTTTCGAGGCCAGTACTGTGGCAGCTGCTCAAGCAGGGTAGGACCACAAATACTTGTCCACCAGGTCGTACCTTCTTTACCGGTGAAGTGGGGGTTGTCACCTGGTTAGTTGGGCTTGTTGGAGGTGACACGGTGATGGTGGACGGGGTGGGCGCCGTGCTGTTGCTCACCGATGCTGAGGGTTTGCTCTTGTCTGGAGGGGTCATGAAGAAAAAGACGTGTTAGCTGTTTGAGTCAACATACAATAATTAACAAAAACAATTAGAGCACGCTACAGTGAAGAATATAAATACATAACGGGAGACAGAGTGACCCATGTTGTTAATTAAATTCTATTTGAGAAATGTTACTGACAACCGATGTTTTTGGTTCAGATTTACTGATACCACACAAGTCTAAAATAAGTCACACACACACACACACACACAAATCCACAGCACCTGCTTCAGTCTCCGACTCTGAATCCTCGTCCTCCTCTTCCTCACTGGAGCAGCTTGATTCGTCCTTCTTCCCCTCCTCTTCTTCATCCACCTTCTCTGGTTCTAAGGTCTCGATGCGTGGGACAGTCTTTTCTGGCTCTAGAAGCAGCGTTTCTTTGCTGCAACACACACATTTAGTACAAGTTAGTACGGAGCTACGGCATCCGTGTAGTACAGTATTTTTCAACTGCGAGGGAGAATACAAGCCAAAGTCACAAAGGTACGAACTAAGATATTCAAACCAAAAAAGAAGTTTAGAGACGGCTTCCATTTATTATTTTTCCACCATCGAGCCATTTACCTCTTGAGTGGTTTTAGTGATTGGTTGTTGTCCCCAGTGGTTGTCGTTTCAATCAAAGGAGATTTCTTAACATCTTTCTTGTCACTCATCAGCTGGAATAAAGAAAACAAATTTTAGCTATTCTAATGGGCGAAAGGACAGCAAGGCACACAATCTATCTAGTAAAAATGAGATTCACACATTTTCACTCAATCACAGGCTTCCAGTTATTTTACAGAACTCATTCAAATTAGAAGGGCTGACAAAGCTGTTTTGTGCAGATTTAAATCCCTTTACAGTTAGCAGCCACACTGACTCACCAGATTTTGTTTCTTTTGTAGTTCTTCTAAGTATCCCAGAACATCTTCGTCTGCTACATCAAAAGCTGTCTGGCCCTGAAAGAGAGAAGTAAAATAAAAATTTTGCTAAAATGTGGACTGTGCAGCACATAAAGACGGGACTTGTGACAGTTCCAGTTACTCACCATTTTATTAATGAGGTCCATGTCACATAGATTATCCACCAGTATCCTACATGCCTCCTCTTTGCCCCAGTGTGCTGCTGCATGTAGAGGAGTCCAACCATCATAGTCCTTTATATTTACATCATACCCTGCCTGGATTAAAAGCCTGCACAATGAAGGTGGGGGGAGAGAGACGAAACAAAAAACAGTTTTTCTTAGAATTTGAAAATCTCGGATTTGATTGAAACTAATCTTTCAAAGTGATGCCACGATACAGGCTTGTAGAAATGCTTCAGCATTGTAACTCCAGGTCAGATTTATGAGATACAGAGTCCGCTCCTAAACACATGGACACGTAACCTTTAAGAGCAAAATGAGGTTAGGACATTTTTTAAACTCTAATATTTCAGCCCATAACTCTGCCCTGACATGGGAAAACATTTAGATCCCTGTCTTGTATATGGTAGTCGCACTAAGCATCAGCGATGTTAGAGCTATCTATGGCAGTAAAGTGTACTGGCTGGCTTCCCAGACCAGATGGACAGACGGCTGCAGTTCCTATCCTCCAGCAGCGTGGCCGTATTAACAGCCTAGAGAGACAATTTCAGAACAACAAATTGACAAGATGCAGAGACCAAGATATGTTTGGCATTAGCAAAGACAAAAAACTGCAAGGCCTCACCACTGTCTTAAACAGTATTTATATAATGTAACATACAAGAAAGACGTTATGTAACAAGCAGTAAAAATAGTGGGTCATTACATTTTTGTCCCGAAATGGAAAGACATCAAGTTTAAACTCCGTCTATAACCTGTGAAATCAAAACCGCTGCTTACTTTAAAACCTCAACATATCCCTTCGCGGCAGCTACATGGAGTGACGTTCCTCCGGACTTGGCATGCCGGACGTCTTGGATTTGGCCGCTGTTGAGCCACTGCCGGGCGTCCCTCAGCATGACCCGCTCCTCCTCTTTCCGGGCTGCCTCGATATCCACCCCTGGTGAGTGACAGAGGAGATTGATACTGTAAAAGTGCCACTGAAGGGTAACCTGCTACTTAGGAACAAGCTGCCAGCTCTAACGCTGAACCCAGAGAATGGAAGAGGGAGAATGAGGCACAATTGCATCGAGGTGCTTATTATGAGCTCCACAGCACAACATCTAGAGAAAGGTATGTGAATGTTTGAAATACATTAGTTTGCGACTATGGATTACAATAGAGGGAACAGAAATATTTCAATACATAGCCATGAGATACATCTTTCCATATTTAAACAGTACTGTGATAATGTAACAATAATGACAGCTGTGACAAGTCAGTGCTACCCAAACACCCCTGTACTAGCTGTAAAGTTCTGCAGAAGAAACAGACATAACATTATTCTGACAACCTCTCTAAACACTAGAGGGTGTTGTAAAGCACTTGTTCCATTTTTAGCCAAACAGTTTTGTACCAATTTTCTGGCAATTTGACAATAAAATAATGGCTGCAAACATACAGGCCTCAGCCGGTTTAAGTGGGTCAATATGTCTAAGCTATAAGCTGCATGCGCTGCAGAAGTGAAAACAGGCCTTTATTGTCTTGTTGACACCTGGTTGGAACACGAGACGGTCTTAAATGCGCTGGTGCACGAGTCGTTGACTCGTCAGCTGAGCCTTAACTGTGTCGAACTACATAAACAGTGATTCAAGAAGGGCTCTGCGGTAGGAGCCAAAACTTCCGCTGATCGTGTAGGTTTTTGTTCTATTCCCAAGGATACATCATCACTCTTTTCCTGGCACACGGAAAGCTTTAAGATTGCCTCAAGCTTTTCAACCAAGGAAAGAGGACATCTACGTCTGCAAGTTTAACTTTAGCCAGAGGTTTAGCCACTGCTAGCTGAAGAGGAGCAAGGGAGATCCGTTAAGAAAAAGACATTCGATTCCTAAACACAGTCACTAAGACGCGTGCTATAGGCCTTCCGCGCTTTCAAATTTTGAAAATTGGTCTACAAACCTAAAATATTATTGAAAATCCATCTTCCTTCCAACACACACATCACAGGCTTAAATTGAGCAGGGCAACAATAATATTTTGGCTTGTTTAAAATGGGACATGTTGCTCATTAAGAGGATTTGTGACCTGAGATCTAAGAAAGTGAAACCAAATGGGAAGAAGATGACTCAGGGACTGAGTTTATGTTTGACTGGATTTCAAGTTTCGTTTCAAACATTTCAAACCAAGTGCCTTTGGGCCTGGACCTCTCTCTCACTATGGTTGGCTGCTCAGTGAAGCACTAACTTAGTAAAGCCCATCAACATGTGCTTTTTTTTTTTTTTAAAAAGGTTATAAAAATCTGTCAAATCAAATCATCTCAATACAACACAGGCGAAATGATGACATACTCTGACATTACAATAAGATTACAATTGAGAAGTAGGATCAAAATGTTGTTTTCTGTGTCAGACTTGCACAATGTTACAAGAAATTACATTTTAATATGTGAACCAGCCTTGGTTGCACAATTTTGTGGTATATGCCATCAATCAAGCTCATTAAAAGAGTGTCAGGTGTGTGCGGCGTAACTCGGTTTAATCAAGTTGAGACAACCACAGCAATGCCACAATTCATACTTGAGCTGTTATGTGAAATCCAATCCAACCTGACAGTGCACATACCCTACAGAGGAAAATGAACCTAAACTTCCTTAGGGTTATTCGGTTAATGGGAGCTGGCCAGGTAGGGCAATGTCCTGTGGTCTCTTGGGAGGTAGCCTACACTGTGTCTATAAAAAGAAGGGAGCCTAATGGCCTCTAAGTAGGACTACAGAGCAAGAACCGAGTGGAAGAATTGGCAGCAGTTTAAAGTTGAGTTTTTTTACAAGAGAACTCATCTCATCTTCTATCTGAGCATTGAGTAGATAAAGAGAAAATCCAATAGACCAAAAAAGGGCTTGCCTCCCCCATCACCTCACTGACAATATACCTACAATATGTCTGGTAAAGCCATAATGAAGCATCTAAAGAAGTGTACCCTGAAGCAAGCAAGCACCAGGAGTCATTCGCTTTTTAGAAAAGTCAAATAAAAATGGGGCAAAACTGTTTCATTTGTGCTGAGATGAAACTACTGTCAATCCAAATAACCCCCCAGTCCTCTAAGCACCAGGGACAGAGTGTAAGTTAGAAACATTTGTGAGATTGTTCACCTTCAGTCTGTTACAAGGACAGGCAGCAGCCCTCATGAGGCAGCTGATGGAGGAGGGAAGGAGGGTGTCGGGGCTGTCCAGTCACTTGACCCACTCAGGGTCAGGGAGAGGATCTAGAGGTTGTCCCTGCCAAGGGGAAACCATGGCCACTTGCTAACAAGTTTAACCCCATGACTGGTATCTCTTTGAGGGGAGAAAATCACATTACAAACATACAGAAGCGTTACACAACAACTCGTTGCATAATGCTGCCTGCTACCTCTAGCACAGAGAACTGAGCTGTGGATTGTCTGCAGCTGCCCTGAGGCCAGGATCACTGCAAATTCACTCTTCAGCTGAGTTTTATCTCAAAAGCATTTTTATGCAAGTCTGCATTAATGAATAAATACATAAATACAGCTCAAACTTGCATATATAATGTCCACATAATGACAAAGTGTTCAGTAGTTTGCCTCTGTGAAGTCTATGAGCATGGTAAATGAAGATGCACATTTGGTTTTGCGTCCATTAGTGACGGATCTTAGAATTGGCAGCGTGCGAATGCTCTGAACCAGGCAGCAGCACATCTATCAGGCCTCTGCAAATCAAAGATGACAGCTGCCGCTGGCCGAGATGCTTGAGGTTCGGGTGGGTGAATGTCTCGCCGCTGTTATATAACACAGTTAAGGAGCATAACACACAAACAGCGCTCTGGGTGTAATTATCAATGGATGCCATGTGCTTTCAAAACACTTGGACCTCGACTTAAAGTAATGTCGACGGATTGACACCTACACATGCAGTATTCTACATCATCTGACCCTGAGGACAAGTCTATCATATATGTTTCTAATGGGGCTGCTGCTATATCGACAAGTCTTACATGATTGGCAACATGTGCAATACTTATATTTCACACGCTCCTGTAAACTATCAATGGCCGTGGCTGTAAGCATTTCTCTCTGCATGCAAACAACACACGTAGTAAAATGTGAGAATGTAAAGCTTGCTTTAGAAAATGGCAAATGGTGCCACGGAGAAGGGAAAGCCAGCCAACCTTTATTAGTGAATGTGAGCCGAGGAGCACCCCTGGCCCGGGGCCAGTTAACACGTCTGTGCGTGGCCTCTCACCATAGGGGAGGGCCTTTCATCATCTCAAGAATGCCCCGGCCAAAAATAGAAGACTTGACTTTTCAGTTTTGAATCATCACATGAGTGCTCACAACACAGCTGGATCACTTTTCTACATTATGTAAGTTTTCTTCAAGTGAGCAAGTGAACAACAGCAAGTAACTGACACTCAATGAGAACTCTGATTCTATTTGACAACACAGTCATACATGCATGAAATACACGTGGGACCCCTGCCAGCGATGCTTCCATTAACATGTTAACCCATCAGGATTGTTTCTAGATATGACTAAGTTCAATTACACGGTAATACTTGGCCACATTACTATGCCTTTTTTTTTTGCTGCAACTGACAAATATTTTCCATCACAAATTAATCTGTTGAACATTTCCTTAATTAATTAATTAATTAATTAGGTGTTTAGTCCATAAAATGTCATAAAATGGTAAAAAAAAAAAAAAAAAAAAAACGTCATCACTGTTTCCAAGCCGAACATAATCAAATGTCTTGTTGTGCCCACAACCCAAAGAAATTCAGTTTAAAAGAAGCCAGAAAAGATATATGAACATAAAAAAGAATGAATAAACTGATTATCAGAGTAGTTGACAATTGATTAAACTACTAATTGTTGCAGCTCTAATCTTAAATACTTCATATTTTTAATATTATATTCGGTTTTAGGGTGATTTTATAAAATCAGTCCAGCAATAACCAATAACTCTAGCACAGATACAGCAATGTTCATAAATGAGCACTGTGCCTGTTAAATAACACAACACATAAAGCAGAGTGCCCGTCTCCACTACTTTTTTCCCCCATTAAAATTACGTACCCTTTTGGCAGAGATATTAGCTACAGTGTATTATCGTTAAATTTACGCAGTGTAACACGTTTATGAAGGTTGCGTTGGGAGAGAAGGATGACCTTGTGATGCAATATGGACTAGACAGTAGAGTTTAAGATGTGTGTAATACTGTACCTTGTCGGTTGATCTCATTCTGTAGGAGCTCCTCCATTGCCTCCTCTTCAGCGATGTCCAGAGGCGTCTCACCTTCACTGTTCACAACTCCTACACTGGCACCCTGGCTGATGAGATACCTGCAACAGCACACACAAGACTTTTAGGTTCGAGCCACAGATAGAACTCTATGAAAAATCATTTTAAAAATTGTCCAGAGTGGTATTATTCTGAAATGCTTTACTTGATTTTAGCACTGAAAAGTCTGAAGTCAAACTCTAGGTTTTGACAGGAGGTAAAGACACTTTGTAGTGCTGCTTTTGATTCAGTGCCAACATTGGTTGACACTACACCACATTCTGTATCTCCGGTTTAACCAGTCACTTCCTTATCCTTTGCATTGATATAGAGACGTGTGTATGCTCATAATGTAAAAGCCTTTTTACTGCCATTCAGCCCAAACTATGTGACAAAGGTAAATAATGAGGGTACATGTTGAAATAAGTAAGATACTAATGGCTTAAGTGGTGAAAACTCAAGGCACCCAAGTCACACAATGCATTTAAATGACAGAGGGTCTTCTTCAGGCTGTGCAAACTGAGTAAATATGCCACACCTACACAATAAAGAAAAAGAGGCATCTGGACAAGGAGTGGCACAAATCCAGACAGGTGTTTGGCATGGGTGTTTACTACTCTCCATGGTTTAACACTACACTACTGTCCACTTCTTCTTACAGTACGTAACTGCAACGACAGACGCAATAGAAGCAAGATATGCATTTGAGTGGAACATTTTACAGTTGAAAAACAACTTGTCAGTACTCTTAGTACTAAACAAAAAAAGACCAAAGATCTAATGGCTAAGCTTAGGGTTTTATCAGACGACCTGTTAATGAACTTTTTCTACTCTAACAGCTGTGAGTATTCTATAAATATGCACGAATGCCGAGGAGAACAGTACTTGTGGTGGCTTTTATATCGTACGCACAATGAAGATTTATTTATTTTTGTTCCTTTTGAGGAAAGAATTTGACAAGTTGAGGATTTAACACACTGCTTAGTCTATATTTCCATAGAAGATATAATTTAAACTGAATAAATATGAAAACTCTGAACAGACTCATCACCTAAAAGCACGAAAGACCCAGAGTTAAACCATAAAATGCTCTTTAAATATAGACAACCAAAAGATGCATTTAACGCGGTATCCAAGGCTACGTAGTGATTTAACCCTTTATATCTTTGTCTCCCACCAGCAGAGATTCAAGACCTTTTTAACCATTCAACATCTTGACTTCAGCTGGTTCCAATTAAAGCTGCGGTGAGACAGGCCCTTCTCATTAGGCCAACACACCACTTGAAACGGGCTCAGCGCTTATGACTTCCCCCCAAATGGCAACTGACTGACTGCAGTTAGATTTCAAAGTTTTATATCTTCTTGATTGGACTTTCTATTCTGCCTATTTTGGGTCAGCTTTACTAAGTTTGATGGCTTTGTGGTCTGGAGTCCCACTGTGGGATTCTTAACCAACCCTACCATTAGATGGCTGTGGTGACACCCAGAGGCTTAGAGATACAGTCCTGCTTTGGAGTTCCCGGTACTGTGAATGAGGATGCTGGAATTAAAATGGGTCTACTGAGAGCTCACCACCCACATCAGGTTGCAGAGTTTCTCTCTATGACATGATGTCTCCATTAGTCACCCATATCAGGCCGACCACTTGACCTTTTCATTCATTATGTGACAACAAAAAACTTCTTGTTTTCTGTAATACTAGGCCAGTGCTGGTGATGTGTTCATCGGGGTCTACTGGACACAGACTTGCTGGGTCTAAGGAGTTGACAACACTTAAAAATCTAAACATTGTGAGGACACTTTTATTGAAGCGGCTAATACATCATTTCTCCACATTTCTGTTCAAAAAGGCTATTCCATTACAACTTTAATACCATGCATATTTATACATTTGCCTGGGAACTAATTTGTACATAAGCTACATGTTTATCTTCCTACCACCAGCTGCACTTTTTGGGAAAACATCAATAGTGGGGATAAATCTGTAGCCAGGTTCCTGTAATGTAACACAGAAGTAAAGCAGGTCACAGCACACTCCCAATATGCTGAACAATGAGTACAACTGAGCTCCTTCAGCCCCCTTTAGCCTGTTTAAATATCCTCTGATAACATCTCTGTGTTGTGTTCTGTGCCCTATGAGCAGTCTTTCTTACCTGAAAAGGACTAGCGGCAAGAAAATACTAGACTGCAACTCTAGAGCTCGATTCCAGATATAGTGGCTGACAAAGATCTCTCTGTATTTGATTACATCACTCTAACAATGTGTGTCTGCGCTATCAGATGGGCTTCAGCGCCTGTCAAAATATGACCAAAAAAAACCGGCTTGCTACTGAAAATTATGGCTCTTGACATGTTGATTCTGGCATGCTAGCTGATATGGCACCATGGGCATTTCTACAGCAAACATGCACCAATTGGCAGGCACTGGAGGTGGCAGATTCCAAGGAACTATATTCTATTGAGCTAAAACGTATCATTATAGCACTGCACTAGGCCATACGATGTAGACATCAATCTTGCTAGCACCAATAAAAAGACAGAGGTCACTAATGGGGGGCTCCGAGAAGTGACAGGACAGTGCAGACCTCAGCTGCAGCCCAGCCGTGTAAGCCCTGATGTCAAGTTGTGCTTGGCAATCCAAATTAAATTGTGTAGTACCAGCTGGACCTTTATACAGGAACCTTAATGATCATCACATATTTTCACAACAAAAAAAAAGACACTGAACGGGGCTAAAAATGAGAAAAGAAAAACATATTTCTGAGAAATGGTTGATACCAAACAGGATGTGTAAGGATGAGTTTGCAGAAATCAAACCTGATGAAACAGATACTGCTTCTTGGAAACCGAATAAACCGCTTTGTAAACCGGCCTCTCGGTACTTACTCTGCTATGTCGAGGTATCCGCAGGAGGCTGCGGCGTGGAGGGGGATCCAGCCCTCGTTGTCGGGCTGGTTGATGCCGGCTCCATGCTCCACCAGGAAAGTCACCATGTCAACATTGTCATCTATGCATGCCTGAGAGGGGACAAAAAGAAAGAAGTAAGGCTACTGTAAGAAGCAAGGAGTGTGAGCTGACGTGTGTGTCTATGTGTGGTCATGTACATGCACATGTGCTTATGAACGTATGTCAGTGGGATGGCCTGTGCTACTGCGTCTGATAGACTGCCACGTGCTTCCAGAATTGTTGGGGAATTTTGGCAGCCGCAGTGTTCCCAAAATGCCTGCACATAGCAGGGGTGCTTGAAATACCACATAGCATAGTACTGCTGGTGGAGGCGCTGGAGGTCCTGAGCTTATATGCTGCTACTTTAGGCAAAAAGGAAGGTAATTAATTTAAAAAACACTTTTGCTTAAAAAGCCAGCTTTGCACTTCAGCCAAATATTTTCTCTCGTGTGATAAATCAAACCACTGAAATAACCGCACACACACACACACACACACACCATACGTTCTCCTCTTACACCGAGCAGCTGATGAATCACTCGATTAAATCCACATCTGTGGTCGAGCGAAAGTTAAACAGCTTCATTTGCCAGCACATTTTGCACCCAGAGTTTGTCCTCTTCTCTTAAAATCAATCCTAATCATTAGGAACTGTGCCATTCTCTGGTGCTGGGGACATGTAACACATCTAAAGCCAGTCTCCTGGTTGAGGACAGGAGGATGTCCCCGACAGACATGTCACTCAGTGTGGGAGGAAACTGGAGCGCTTTAAACAACACCTGAATACAAGTAAAACCAACAAAACTCCACATAACTGCTTTCTGGGGTAGGTGGCGAAGCAAATTTCATACAGCATGATTTCCAGTATTTTCCATATTTTCGGTCACTGCATACAGTCAGAGGGAAACTAGCAGACCACCCACAAAATATCACGCATGATAATGACTGGCACATCCCATTGTCACTGTGACTGACAGTGACAATTCTGGAGATCAGAAGCAGACAACAAAGTGGGTGCTAAGCATGCACCAGTCTAATTTTCTTCACAGCACAGATGTTATACAACCTTTTTCTGAAACCCCCGGTGCAGCAAAGCAAACCATATATGTCACAGTGAAAACAAAAGTGATACCAAGAGAAATGTATAGCAGCTGCAAGTGGGAGAGATCTAATTTAAGATCTTCTGACTCATGAAGTGGGGGCTGTTGTGATTTTTACCTTTATTGTAAAGCACAATTTGTTCCAGGGTGGGCGTACGTTGGCTTTTTTCATTATGCATTTAAATTAGCATTTGACTGTTTGTTAGTCAAGTGTAAAGATCTGTATTATAATTAGACCTACACAGTCTAGGTTTAAAAGGCAAAAGTATCATTAGACATGCAGAGTATATTCTATAACCAGCCATTTGTAACGCATTTTGTCATTAATAAAATGTTGTTTAGCATGTTTTTGTTTGAATTTCTGTAAAATAAATTAACATTTTAGTGTCTTCTTTATTGCATTTGTTCACCAGCCATGGACCTGAGCCGACCTGTTGCACATGTCATCATCAATATCTCTCTCTTAAGTAGACAATGCAAAAATAAGTTTTTTTAAAAATCACGTCTGTTTTGGTAATGTTCTGCCAAGAACTTGCATCAATGTGAAGTTTCTCACGCCACGACAAGCCTACCGGGGACCTTCTTACTGTTCGGCAATACTGCTAACCACTAAGCCACTGCTGTTTGCACATAAACACCATCATAATACATTTTCAATCCATCCAAAAAAAAAGTTGGGACTTCTCAAATTTCACATTAGGCCATTTGTCTGTGTGTACATAATCGAATACATTTAATGTAAGGTCGTGTTCGATGGATACATTTGTGTATTAAATAGAAAAGAAACCGTATACGATTCATACAAAGGAAGAGCAACGGCAGCTTTACTTGGCCCCGGGCCTGAGAGGCTTGAGCTGTCAAAGAGGTCGCTCAACATCCAAAACGAGAACTACGGAGAGCCTGCAGTGCACGTCTCATTCAGGACACACAGAGGCCCTGAGGTCTGAAGAAGTTACCTCACATCAAAGACACACAACAAGGCGACCTGCAAAGCACTGGTCAGAAAAAGTCCTCAAGGGGGAAAACAACAACACAGCAAATCCTTCTGCCACTATCTCTGCAGCCATCCCACACACAGCAGCAGAATGCTCAACGGCCGAGGCCTGATGATCTGTGGAACCACGCACTCGCTGATTAACAGCCATTGTAGTAAAGAGACACACACTTGAAATCCACAACAATTACCACTCAGCAATATCAAAGCCTAACTTTGCCACCGCAACCCCCCTCGCCCCCATCATTGAACACTGCGCCTGGACTGCCTCGCTCTCTCTCCTGGGGTTGCTATGACAACACAAGCGTTGACAAGGGAAACAGATACACACGAACACACAGCGGCCTCACGTTCAGGGCACACGACTATCTGGCTGGAATCCTTGTCCAAATTTGGGCCGTTTACAAAGCCGTACATGGCCAGAGCTGAAGAGTGCCTGCACAGGCCTCACTGAGCTTATCTGACGGTGTGTGTGTGTGTGTGATGTGATTTGGTTGTGTGTGGGTGCTCAGGCGTAGAGTTTCTCCAGGTGCAGATGAGTTCATCCAACTTTGTTGCAGTAAGATAATATTACTTTGAAAGTGATGCAATCTGAAGCGCTGATCACTAGTTAAGTGTCACTCTCGTGTGTTTGTGAGCTGGATGTCAAATGGCGCGGTTATGCGGTCCTAACACATGGCAGCTTGTGGTTCCCATCCAAGTCCACAATTTGGTAAAGTCAACATAGGCAGACCTGTGGTTCGTGCCATTAAAATCAAGTATTGGGACACAGAAAACCTCAGAACAAGTCTAGGAACATGTATTCATTACTATCATATTGGTAGCAATCACATTAACTCTACTTATGTAATGATCAACTCTGTTTTTCCCCTATTAGGGTAGATGAGGATGGGTGCTTATTCTTCACAGGCAGTCACACTCTTGGGTCACATTCATGTGTAGCCGTGAAGCTGCCCTCGTCCTCCATCGTCCTTATTATGTGGCATTCAACTTCCTTCGGGAATTCAAAATAAAAGAGCGCCGATGGGTCCTTATCAACAGCTGACTGAGCGTGTTGAATTGGCAACAAGGGCACAAGTGAAAGCTGACTGGCTGTTCAGCCCAGTTAATCAGTGGCTCCACCTTTTTAGCACAACCTCTCTTCATTTTTCATCGACTGCTTGTTTTTCTTTTTGTGCAGATACGGAACAAATATGCATGTTGGCCCTCAGATCCCCGTCACCTGTTTTGGCTGTGTTCAAGTTCAGTTTTTAAACAGAGGAGGACAAGTGTTGTATGGAAACACACTGCATTTAATCAGGAACCTTTTTACATATTAATGCACTGTCTTCTTCATCTGTGGAACTGAAAAAAAAGAGGAATGTAACAGTCCTGTAACTGTCCTCCATACCCTCATCTAAATCCTCCCCCTCAGTCATTCCCCACACACTTATTATCTCTTCAAAGTCTTCTCCTTCTCTAAGAATGGAAACAAGCCCCTTAAGGCGAAAGCAGTGCTGCCCGTGACCTCCCTCTCCAGTGAGTCACCTTCCTCTGATGGCTCCTCCCAGCAGCTACTGGAGCCCAACAAAGGTAATCCCTTAATGGCTGCAATTATCTGTGGCTGACAGGTGCCACAGTTGACAACCTGCATCAAGAGTATGAGTGGAGCAGTGGCCAGAGGGACAGGAGAAAGAAGAGAGGAAGGAGAAAGTACCATGGCATCCTTTCTCAAGAGCATTTCAAGAGCATGGTGGTGTCCTCCGCGTGTACTGATGGGGGGGATAAACATCTAAAGACAGTGTTTTATGTCCGACAGCGAGCAGTGAGCACGTGAAAGACGAGTAGAGGAGAGGGATCAAAAGGGAACTGAAGTTTGATTTAAGTTAAAATACAACAACTGTGGGCCTCACACATCCCAATCAGTCTCCGGAAGACATACAGGACCAGTGCTGCGCTCGCAGTGAAACATTCAGATGTGTAATGACTCACTCTCAGACACGACACGCTGCCATTTAAACCTGTTTGGCAAGTGGAGGAGGAAAGAGAGGAGGCCTTGTCAAGCATGAAGGCAATAAGACGGATGGCACTATACACTATAAAAAAAAAAAGAAGAGTACGACAAAGACAACTACACAGCAGCCTAAATGTCAGCTAAACTTAAACACAAAGTCAGACACAATAGACGCTACAAGCAGAGAAGGACCTTGACTAAATGTAAAATGTTGGCTCGATTCTCGATTACCGCTGTGATGATGTGACGTCTACAGTATTGCAGGATTAGCATTTCCCCCCAGACTGTCCATGAATACTCAGTGATATTAAGGCTCCACAGGTAATTCACCCGAGTATCACACACACAGCAGACCTGAGAACGCCAAAGGTTGCTGCGGGTAACAAAAGAGAAAGAATTACACCATGTGGCAACAGCATGTTAGATAAAACAAAGTATCCTGTCAGTTTGCCAGGGAGGACTAGAGGATGCATCCTTGCCGCCCTTTCTGATAAAAAAGGACCCTCTAATGGAAACTGAGGCTTATGGGAAGTTGACGTAAACGAATCAATGTACACAGGATGCTCCATTTGATTGGTCGATACAACTGTTTTCAGAAGCAGGCCGCTCAGTGTACATTAAACTCTGTTTATCCATTAGGGTTTTGGGGATGTGGTTAGCAGTGGAGCAAGAAAAGCAGTGAAAATCACTAATCTCTAATTAGAAATTAATTGAAGTTGAAAAATCTGAACCATGGCAGTCAAAAGTCCAATCCAGTGAAAATCTATAATCCACAGAAAGCAGGCGCCATTAAAAAAGGAATAATTGAGGTGTGTAGTAGAAATGTTGGTGATGTTCCATTAATTATAACAGGGGGAAAACTCGTTTCATTTCACATCAGGTGAATCACGTCACATTTAACAGTGCTGTACAGCAGAAACATAATAATACAGGCGATCTTATGTTTATATTTTAGGAACACACAGTGCAGCAGTATCTACCGTA